CCAAGAAGGCCTATCCCTTGAATTAAAAGTACTGCCATGCCAATGCACCTAATATGGGAAGCTTTTCTTTTTCGAAAGAGTACACATTTTTTTAAAGGTACATTTTCTCAATTCTAAGGATGGTTATTGTACCTATATGAAAATTAAGATTTGCACTCAACATTTTGTGCTTTTGTTTATGTAATTTTCTTTATGCCTTGTGTTTATTGTTTTAATCCCCTGGAAATACAATCAGTAGGTCTGGAGTTAATTATTGTTTACACCCCTGGAAATTTTCTCATCAAATATATAAATATTTCCATGACATCTAAGAGTGCTTTTGAATAATAAAATTAATCCATCTGAAGTAAAAAAAATAGTTAACTATTTTTTTAGTAAAAAACATTTGAATCAAGTAATATGCTATGTAAAGAACAAAACGGAATAATAAGTTTTATGAACATACAGAGTAAACCGTCTTTGACGTACAAGTACATTTTTATATGAGAAAGCCTTGATATTTCACTGTATATATGGCATTGTTTAAGAAGTATTTAAGCCAATTAGAACACTTTAGTGACTCTGAACAAAAGTTTATATGAAAAAATAATCTTGTAAAGTGCAGAATTAACCCAGGAGCATAAGTATTTTCTAGGAGATCCCTGGGGATCTCTGGGGATCACACTAGGAGTTCCCTGGGGATCTCTGGGGATCACACTAGGAGTTCCCTGGGGATCACTACAGTCTGTACTAATAAAACTATGGTGAAATAGATTACAAATAGATTACTCACCTATCACGTTGGAAATCTGTATTCTGGCCACAGTAATATGTCAGATAGTTGTTTATCAGTAACTTATGACGATCAAACTTGTGAAAGTTAAGGAAACGTAACTTCTTACATACACAAATACATTGTAGTATAAAAATTAGAAACCATTTTTTCATTTTACATAATTATACATGTAGTATGTTTGAGCTCTGATAAACAATTATAAACAAGAGCTGTCAGTAGGACAGCAAACTTAACTACTTTCAGTGCTAGATAGTAAAACAAGAGCCCGAATAAAGTAGGAATTCACAAAAAGCAAGATTTCATTTAAATGAATACATGACACAGTTTACCTGTGTCTCAGATAATGGCCAAAGAATTTCTATTAGTTGTTTTTTTAACACTAGTTCATAGAGGGCCATAATATATAATCATTTTAGCGTGAAAAAAAAAACCAAAAATGAAACAGCGTTTCAATTTAATACTTTTCTCTCAAATTGGACTCAATGTTGCTGTGAAATTAATTTTCAATTTAATTCAGAGTATATTTCTTTGTTATCTTTTGCAGTTTTCCATTATAAGTGCTTCATTTGGTATTGCAAGATTTTCAAATTTTATGTTTTTATGTATTTAAATAGACCACAGCCAGGAGTTCCTTTAAATTTATAATTACATAATCATTGTCAAAATTTAGCAAAATGAATTTCCATATTCATAAAACAATTCACTCATTTTTGTCTGACAGGACAATGCAGGATGACGTGCATGATTTTCAAAAACAACTCAGGTGGAGGCAAGACTGTTTTAGTCACCATTATCACTCAGTAAATCGAAAGGAAAATAAAGGATACAGCGTTCATACTGACTATCCTGTGCCTCATTATACGTCCTTCTTCTCTGAAAACAAAAATAAAATATAACAATAAAGAAGTTCCATGGGGCTTTTATTGCTCACTTAATTCAGTAAAAAGACATGTAGACAGAAAAAACAAAAACAAAATATAATACCAGAGGTCCAAGTGGGCTTTTGTCTGCTAATAAAGTGCATACATGCCTGATAAAAGCTAAAGAAAGAGAATGCAATATTTTTACCTCTTACTGAATTAAAAATATTAAACTGATAAACTTTGAATCAAATTTAAAGTCTCCCTTAAATTTGACTAAAAACATTCAGGACTATTAAATTTTCTTATTGATATGACTCTCAGCATATTACTGCGCATGGTTTCATTTGAAGTTTAAAGGAAGAAACACATATTAAATTGAAAAATTTTGTTATATCAAACACAAGGTATTCTCTATTTATTGCTCCCTTCAGTTAATGGATATGTAGACAGAAGTTTCTTAAGCATTAATTTTGATTGCAGAGAATATTTGAGTACCAGTAATGAAAGTGACCATCCAGATAAGACCATTCTAAATATCTTAACTTATCAATCTTTTAATCTGGACAAAACCATTCATCATTTTTAGAATAAATTTCACCATATGGACTACTGAATGGCTTAATCAGTCATGGTCTGCACTAGCCTCATAGATAAAATCTGTTGATGCTAACAGGCTAAAGGGTAAACTTTATCCCTTCCATTTTAATAGTTGTAAAAAGCATTAAGGCACATTTGGTGTGAGTTCTGCTTCTAGTTTTAAATGTATTTGTCATGTGATTAAGGAAACAATGAATTTACGTAGTAAATTTTAATAATACTTTTTTATGTTTAAAGGCACATTTTGCCATCAAAACAGAAAAAAATCCTTCCTTAGAAAGAGCAAATACAAGTTTTATATTGTTTAAATAATGGATTTAATCTATTAGATCATGTAAGATGCTTTTCACGTTAAGTAAGAGATGCTTTTTACATTAAGAAAGTTACATAGTCTTAAATGTGAAATTATTTGTCATAAAAGAAAGCAAAATGTAAACATAGAAGTATTTGGACTTCAATACAAAATACTAAATCAGTCCACAACAGTTCAAATTGTCAAAAGGTAACAGAAGCAAAGGATGGTTCAGGTAATTGACCAAAGAGTTACTTTTTGTTAACCAAAAATAAAAAGTTTTTGAGAAAATAAAGAAGTAAAAACACAATGGGCTTTTAACTTTTGTCATCAATTTGAATTTGAATTAACTTGTAGAAAGATGTTAAATTCATAAGAACTTCTTACTTGTTGTATTCATCTTCTAATTCTCGCTTGTGACCTTTCTTTGAGCTTTTCTTCTTTTCCTTTTTTGCAAGGTCTTCATACTTCCTTCTACAAAATAAGTATACAGTATGCATAATGGCGGATTGACCAAGTGTATAAAACATAAGAATAGTAATCCAAGGTTGGTAAGCTGCATGGGTTCAAACCCAGTTTGGGGCAAGCCTTTGTTTCCTTGAGCAAGATAATAATTACACTCCAGTTACTTACAGGAGCAGTAGTCCAGTGGTAGGACGCGCGCTTAGGAAACAAGAGGTCCCGGGTTCGAACCCCACCAGGGGCGCTGCTAATTTCCTTGAGCAAGAAATTTACCTGCGATTGCTTCACTTCACCCAGGTGTAAATGGGTACCTGCGAGGGTGGTATAATTCCATTGCGCCAAAGTGTTGGCTGCACTAAGCGGAGTTAAAAGACTCCCCAGGGAGATTGAAAGATAGATACCAGTAGCCCGATGACCAGGGGTAATAGCTGTAAAATCGGTGAACGTGTGTAAGCATGAAACTTAGACTATAAAATGCAATTACTTTACTTTACTTTTACACTCAATGCTCAGTAATGGTTGGTTCCACAAATGAAATAAAGAGTGTGTTTATAAGCTAATAGCTTCAGCAAAGTTAGAAAATATTTGGTTTGAGGTCACATGGGGACTATTTTATTGCCTATCCATAAAGTGACATGACGTGTATATCTCGACACTGAGGGTATTTACATGTAGTTAAACTGTATCTTTTAATGTAACTTATAGTATTTTAACAATTATAAGTCTATAAGCAAATAATGTACCCTTTATATTTGCCTTATTGTACATGCCATTCATAAAATGTATGTAAAATTATGTGATTTTGTATGTGAGTATATCACAAGTAGACAACATAAATAAGAAATACCTTAAAATTCCTATTAAACACCCCCGGGGGCTAAACATTTTCGAAAAGAGGGGCTATTATTACAACACAGCTTTTCCGAAATCCAAAAATCATTGTAAATACATTTAGTGTTAGCAAGTGTTGGTAATAAGATAAGAAGTTCATACTATAAAATATCAAAGTGCTGCAGCACTGAATGCGACGGACATGCAACCGGAGAGACATTAAGGCTTTTTTGAGAAAAAAAAAACACAAAAGATATAACAGAGAAAATTTGTTCCATACAAGTTCGAGATTTGTAGAGCAATATATTTTTTTTTAAAAACTGTCAACGAAATATTTCTAAAATAAAACCATGCAAATAAACTTCAATCATAATACATAATACATGTGAGAATGTTAATTAGAATTGCTTCGTGTTATATCATAGTGGGCATATAGACAATAAAATATAAGTCATTTGTATTTTTATTTCTCTTGGATATGTCTCATTAAAAATATTTTTGGTTAAAATCATCAGCAATTAATGGTGTATTTTTTTTAGATTTTTTTTTTCATTTACGTCACTTAAGCACTACAGTGTTTAGTTGTCCCTTTCAATTTCACACTTTATTCCATTTTCAACTTGTTTGCTTTCTTACAATTGTATAGAATTTCTTAAAGTATTGCATGTACACATGTAAACAAAATAAGTATCCGCTGGTTTATTTACTCGTCCGAAAGTTAGCACAGATGATGCAGAATCTATTTTTAGAATAGTGTTATCTTCTGGTCGGAGGCTATTATAATCACTCATATCGTGACCTAGAAAACTATGTAAACAAAACACAAGAATCGGAAGTAGAACTGATATTATAACTTCCTTCAATTAAGATTACCATGAAAGACTACATGGTAGTAAAGTGATGTTGTTACATGCATTATTTATAATACTAACCATTGTACTGTAGTCTAATTTATAAATAACTGCTGGATATTCAGCTAAACCTGCGGTATGAGTCACGAAAAGAGTTCTTCTTTTATTAATGCGCGAGTTATTCTAAAGTCACGAAAAACTTTTGATCTGTTAATAAAAATGTTTTGTTTAATGGGGAAATATTTATTTCTTGCTTATAATTTCTATGAATTATTGAGCTTACTCCTTAATTATAGCATAATTTATAGCATAATTTGCTGTCCTACTTTTTCGACAGCGGTAAATCGTTTCAGCAGTTATTTGCATAATTGCGCAATAATACTACGGGGCTACAGCGTTTTTACCAATCAAATACGTTTATATTTTAACTTGGATAACTTAATTTGAAATTGAAAAGGCTAAATATGGAAGTTTTTAAGATATCCCGACGAAGTATGGGAGTTTCATAGGATCAAATTCATGTACTATTTCGTAGGCTGTTATTCGGTTGAGGACACATTGCGCGATTGTAGCCGACGAAATCCCATGTGTAGATGACATAGCTCTGAACGCGCCTGAGGGCGCGTCCGTCGCAAAAATGGATTCTGAATGATTTGAATGAAATTATGGATTTACTCATATTAGTTCAGCACTGATGAGTAGATTGTTTTTCTTATCAAAAGGCCTGGAGGGGCCTTTATTAGAGGAGGGGCGTTTATTAGGAATTTTATGGTAAGAGACACTTTGAAGTGTGTTCTATAACTACAAGTTTAATACTTTTCAAACTGGTAAACATTACATACCTTTTTCTCTCAGATTCACTGTCAAACTCAAACTCAGAATCATAACTTCCAGCTTGATGAGCCTTTAAACCAGAATTATATAAGATATTATACATGTTTAACCCAAACAGTGACTTTATCCCTTTGTCAATAAAATCACTGTTTGGAGTTTGGATGCAAGGAATAATTATATCATGATGCGTATCCGAACAACAAAGAGTGATTTTATCAATCGATAAAATCAACGGTTTGGATATATTATTTCCATTCTAACATGACATCAACAAATAAATGCTGTTGTATCTGATATTATGCTAAATTGTACCTTAAATTTGTTTTCGTACTTATTTTCAGCGCGTCAAATTTTAAGTGGTTATGTCACATGTCTAAATATAGAACATCAACAGTGATTATATTGCACAATAACACACATTTTCGGTTCTTCTATGTTCAATAGGGAAAATGCGGGTCATGTTAGAAATCATAATAACACATTCTAAAGAGACTTCAGCAAACAGGTTTTATTCTAAGTACTGCTAGACGTTACTGTCGCAAAGTCAAAATAAAACCTATACAGAGCCAGAACTAAATATTAACACACAGATTTTGGGGAGGGCAGATAATAACTGCGCATTATAACACAAAATAGCATAATATCTTGATGTTAAGTCTGGTGCAAACTAATAAGAGGTATTTCTACTGTACATGCATACATGTATGTAATTATATCATCCTGGTGGATTTGAAAAGTATAAAAATAAAAGTTTTAATTTACTATTTGCCATTTTGTGATCAAAGATATTAAACATCTGACTAACATACATATTACATGTGACCTAATGTACATTAAGGTGACAACATAGTAATGCAATTATCACTAAAATAATAAAGTATTCAAATCATAAAAAAAACAGACATGTAAAAAAATTCTAATTCATTATTGTAAGTATATCTTTGTGAATATTATCTTAACAAGTGTCCACACATAATCTCCAATGAAATGAAAGTGTGGAATATCCAAGAGGTTAAAATTATGTGTACACTGAGACTGTACTGTACATGTACTGTTGTGCCCTAGAGCTGCAACCAAGTTAATTTTGGAAAATCAGTCAAGGAATCAGGATCACATCATATAATTATAGCATGTCAAGAGAGAATATAGACTAATTAATTTAAATCTCGATATTATCTTATTTCAATAAGTACATGAAATAACAGAAAAACTTACTAATCTCTTTGGGTTAGAAAAATTGTCAGCCATTCTACTTTCACTTTACTTTTGGATTTGTCCATTCTGCAATAGGTGAGTAGGGCATTACAGTCCTAGTTCAGATGAAATTAAACGTATAAATAAAAGGAAATTAAAAAACATTTAGCTTGAAATTTAGTTTTGAAAATACATATTGGCTTCTCTTCTCTTTGGTTACGTATTTTTTTAGCTTATTGCAAAAAATGTTGATACATTTCAACCTCTCATTATTGGATTAATCCAAAATGTCTGCGCCCATGGTTTGTGTTCCAGGTATTATTTAAGATTTTTTTCTTTCTACTGAGCCAACAAAATATTATATTTAAAATAATTTTGCTAATAAAATTTTCAGAATTACACAATTTACAAGTTGTATTGTCAGATCATTGTCATAATTTACATTTTTTTTAAGAAAATTAGAAAAGTTATGTGTTTTCGCGACACCTGGAAATAAAGAAAAAATCCTGAATGTTGAAATACTCGCTGGATAAGGCGAGATAGCAGACGGTTAATAACCAAGAAACTTGTTTTATGTGTTTTTGTAATCATTTTCTGGCAATTTCGTTATTATTGATGTCTATAAACATGTAGATATAGCAGTAAACCAGGCAGTAATTTGATTAAACTTCAGCACCCAATTGTATAAACGTTGGTTAACTTTAACCACTGGGTTAAATCCATGGTTAGGTTAACTTTTGGGTTAAACTTTGGTTAACCGATTGTATAAAATTTTGGTTAAATTTAACCAGCGTAAATTTCTGGTTAAATTAACCCACGTATAGGAGGTGGGTTTAAATTTTAACCAAACATTAACCAGAAATAAAAATGGCTGCCGTTTGTACGCTTCGTCTCAACTTTTGTTCATTTTTGCTTCGAAATAGACTAGTATCGGTTGTATATGATGGCAACGATATTTTTATAAGTTGCGTAGTGACGGGAAACGGAAACAAACTTTTCCAGAGCCGGAAATAAACAGTTTAATAAATCAGCTGTCAGTGTCGGATAATTCGGATAAATCATGATACAAAATATCATTTTAAACCGATTAAATGAAGATCATACTGAGGATAGACTTGAAGGACAATTTATGAGTTAAATTACGAAGTCATTCTGGACCAGTACGCAGCGGGAGATCCCTGCAAAGACAAACATGAGGCTGTATACTTTGTGATTGATCAGTAAATTTTGTTTCGATCAACACATATGTGTGCGTTTTCGTGTAATTGTCAATAACAACATGAATTATTAAAGGTTTACAGACTGACAGGATATATCACCTTAGTCTTAGAGAATCCTCTTGCTGAACTTATCATTATGATTATGATGAAGGTATGATAATGCATTGACTTTTTGTGACACTATCAGTTGACAAACAGTTTGCATGACTTTTTTGTGTTTTGTTGCATTTTGTGATGAAAGTTGGCAAAACAAAGTAGGAAGTCATATAAAAGAGTATATTTTGTTCATTCCATATTTCATGCATTGCTTCCGCTTTTTAAAGAATTGTTATTCCTAAACCAAAAAGTCGAGATTGCTCTGTTGTCAGGCCTTGACATCTAAATTTTCTTGTTGTCATGTCGCCAGCGAAACAAGCCAATTGGCAGGTTGTCTCGCAGTGTGTGGTCTGTTGACACATTATGGCTTGACTCAAATGGAAATTTTAGCTTATTAGGGCTTAAATCTGTGTCACAGGGTGAGAAAAATGTGCAGCCTGACCGGGACTCGAACCCGGGACCCTCAGAATACCATTCCGCAGCTCTACCGACTGAGCTATCCGGCCGCTTACACATCTTCTCCCCTATTAAGTGAACAGTTCTGAACCGTTACATACTCCCCTGCTATATTGTAATTCGTCCTCGAATTTCACATTGTTACAGAGCAATGTGAATTAAACTCTGAGCTATATGCAGACACAGTCACCAGTTGGGCGCCAAATGTCAAAGGGTGAGAAAAATGTGCAGCCTGACCAGGACTCGAACCCGGGACCCTCGGAATACCGTTCCGCGGCTTTACCGACTGAGCTATCCTGCCTTTTACACATTTTCGCCCATAATTAGTGAACAGTTCTGAACCGTGACATCTGCTTTGTTGCTGGCGACAACAACTCGAGCCATGCGATAGCACAATAAGACGCCATTCCCTTGATATAAGCCTAGAGACATGGGGACAACGTGCCACAGTCTGGCACATTTTGTAGCGCCAAGGAAAAAAGGCGATAAACGACAACGCAACATGCAAAAGTGTAACATATCAGCAACCATACAAATGACTAGAAAGAGGTCAAAATATGCAAAAATTCCTTTTTGCGTAAGTAATACAGTAGAAATATGGTGATAAATACTGAAAAATCATCAATTGTTCACAACTGTTATAAAAAAAATTACTTTAAACTTGAATTTTGACTTTTCTTAAAATCTTAGTACAATGTACATTTTTTAAGCTAATGTCCTTAAAATATTTTTGGCTCATCTCGTGTAAAATTAGTCGAAAAAAATCAAATGTTTATTAAATAGTTTCCAAAAAGAATATTGATGATACATTGATAATTATCTTAGCTCTATCAAAACAAATACTGTAATACATATAATCATGCTTATTTTTCCAATCTTTAAAAAAATTCCTAATCAAACTGAAATTTGGAATATCCAAAGCAATTAAGTTAGTTATTAATTAAGTTCATTCCAGTATCATTACAGACATATGTGTTTGTGTGTGCATGTGTGTGTTGTTTTTTTTTTTTTTTGGTAGAGTACAATACATTTTTTCTATAAATTAGGAAGATTTCCCTGTTGAAAAACTTTTCCTAATTTGATCAGCAAAATTTCCAGAATGATGACCTAGGCAATTTGTCTTCTCATCAAAGGTTGATAAAGGGCTTGTTTATTTCTAGCAGCAGGGAAGAATAAACAATGTCATCTTCTGATGAAAATTAAACTGTTTTTTTACTTAGTACTTTAAGAAAGTTACAAGCTTTATGATCATGAATTCACACACAAGTATATAACATAAAGTTATTTTATCAACCTTATAACTTTCAACTTGTAAAATGTCCCCAAATAGCCTCATTTTTTTCCAAATAAAGGTCTTTTTTCCAAATTAACTAAATTTAGGCATACACACTGACACAATCATCAGAATTTAACTGGACAACAAGATATTTGTTCTCACTTATGAATTATTGAAAAGATTGTTTTACTTTTCTAAGGATAGGAAGCTGCTTTAGGTCTGATTTAATGTGCACAATATAGTACTGAATGGGAAAAAGGCAATTCTTAACATTAATATTTTCATTCTATATGTACCGGTACTCAAACAGAAATACATTTTGTTTTTACAATTTCATGTCCAATTCTTTTATTATTAATATTTTGAATTAAACTGCTTTGACTTTAAAAATACTTCTTCTTTATATAATGTAAACAATGAAAGTAAATATTTATGATTGAACTCAGATGAATGAAAGCATTATTGAGTATATTTAGCATTATACCTTGTAAATGGCCATGTGGAGATATTATTCAATATCTCATCCCCATTGCTACTCTTGATATTTCTTAGAGGGGAGAGAGGGGGTTAATAAATAAGCAATAAATAGAGGGAGGGAGAGAGATATTTAGACCAATATTCCATTGTTAAATGAGGATGTATTTTATTTATTAAATAATTTATTCAGACTTTCAATGTAGATGAGAATATTTTACAAAATAATAATAATTTAACAATATATAGAATTCTAGAAAACATATTTGGACACTTTTAATTTTCAACCAGATATAGACTACATGTATGCACTTATTAAAGTATATATAGGCTAACTTATTGTTTATTGGGTAACAGTCATATACTATTCATTACATTATGTACATATATTGAAACCCTGGTTTACCTACTTCAATGACATATAATAAATATAAACATATATAAGCATTTTGTTGTTGACCAACTTGTTTTATTTACTTTATAGAAAAAAAAATGGATGAGGGGTGAAGTGTCTTACTGATTTTGGGGGGTGAAGTGTCTTAAGGGGTGAAGTGTCTTCAAAATTTGAGGGGTGAAGTGTCTGGGGAGGGGGGGGGGATTGAGATGTCTTGCTACCTGACACATAGCCTATTTCTAAAGCTTTGGACTAGTATAATGTTGGCCAGCCTCACTGACAGGTTCCAATCATTCATTTAAGTGTTAAGTATTTTTACTAACAAGATACATGTATAAGTAATACAATTATTATATAAGATGTAAGAATTCCTAAACATAATATTGTAGGGTATTAAACAAAAATAATACAAAATTGAAGTAGAGGTAAATTAAAAATCATTTTTGATTGTTCATGAATTAATTATGGTAAATTTAAGATGACTATTGTTTTCTTTTTCATAATTATTGATAATTTAGTTTTTTCTCTGTTTAGTAAATTTACTGCTGGGAACCAAGTTGATTTTGCATTTCAGTGCTGTGACTAGTGAGAATTATAAAACATGTTGAATGTTTAAAATAAAGGATGTCAGTCATACAGTCACAAGAAAGCAAAGTGATTTTGTTTTCATTAATGTATTTTTCATGTTTTTTTTTGTTGTTGTTTAGGTTAATAAGCAAGAACTAGACCTTTATTCTATTATTTATTTTGCTATAATATGGTAAACTTTCAGTAAAGGTCTTCTATCATGAAACATAGCTTTGGAAAATGCAACAAGATTTCCCAAAGGTGACTGATATGATATTAAGTTACTGAAACAGAAGTTTCATATATTATATAGAGAAACTACAGAGAGTAGTTTGGGGCAAAAATCATTCAAAAATTACATCTGATGTTACACAAAATATTTTGGGTTCGAACGTTTTAGGTACGAATCTGATAGGAAATATATGCGTCAATACTTCTGCATCGAGTGGTTATGAAATTATTAACATTCTAACCATTTTCTGTCCCAGTTGACGGATGATTTTGATATTTGCTCATTTGCAGTACATTTTAATTTGTAAACATAGCCCATAGCAACCATGCGGTCTCACTAATTACCGACAAGAACCGTCAGTAGAAATGGAAAAATACGAATTTATTTCACTACTTCGTCATTTTATAATCACAATTCCTAATATTTTTACATGAAAAACATAATAAATTCGTTCTGAACCATGTTTATAGGCAAATATCTATAGCGACAATATTCGTGGTATAAATTTAAATTTAATTCCCGTGACATCAGTTCCGAGGTCATAAACAAGTTCATCCTACGTAAAAGTTACATTTTGTACATTTGTTTAATGATGATATGTAATTAGTGTGGTGACAATTAACATCTTAATTGAAAATTTGAACCGATTTTAACTCTACTATCAAAATTTTCGATTGTAATAAAAATGGAAGCGTAAACCATGTGTTAATTTTGACATATTCCGCGAAAATAACATAACCGGATATAGAATTAATTGCATGTCGGGATTAGTTTTGGTTAGTTTTAACCAGCGGTTAATTTTAACCATTTTGGTTAGTTAACCTTTAGGTTATCTCGGTTTATACAAGTGACTAACCAAATTGGTTAGTTAACCAAAGTTGGTTAAATTTAACCCAGGGTTAGCGTTTAACCCAGGGTTAATTTAACCAACGTTTATACAATTGGGTGCAGTTAGTTGAATGTGGCCAGTATACTGGATTGAAAGCAGAAGAGATCTTCTTGTTCCTCTGCTCTCTAGCTCTTTTTGATCTATTCTATTTGAAAGACCCAAATCTTATATAATATTGCCATGACATTAATGCACATGCATATAAAAGATTGATATGAAAAAGTGTTAACACTGGTTAAGTTCATTCTTATCTTATTTCCACATACTTTCCTAACTTTCCACTCAGCTACAGATATAATAACTGATTATACATATGTAATATGAAATTAGGCAAAGCCTATGAACGGGGAAGTCTGAATGGCTTCCGTTTTCATTTTGAATTTCGACGAAGATTATTATTATTCCAAAAAGTTGCAATTGTTTGTTATCGGAACACCCAGCCTATTATCATTAATTTACATTGAAAATGGCTGCGCCCGACTAGAACAGACCCTGAAAATTTGATTGATAGGTATAGAATTTTATATCATTTATTATTTTTAATTGGTTTTTTATTTGATTTTCTTTTCTTTAGTATGCCTCCGTGGTCAAGGGGTTAGAGTCGATGAATTCTAATCCAGTTACCTCCGGCATGGGTTCGATCCCTGGGAGATGCTTTGGTAGTTTATCATGAAGGAAGGTAGTCTAGTACTGGTGTAACTCTCCAGGAATGATGGTTAGGAAACTACCCGCCTTATAATATGACCGAATGGGCATAAAATGAAACAAATAAACTTTTAGATACATGTGTAGTCTGTAGTCTGGCAAGCTAAAGCCTGCTTAAATTTGCAGTCCCGGCCTTTGACTTCCCAGTATAAACAACAGTGGAAAATGTAATGCGTTTGTTAAAAATAAAAGCAGTCTGGCAAACTTTTATGGTGAGATGTGCTCCATTGGGCTAACAGCCATATTAAACTCAGGTTAAGTGTTTGCAATGAAGCAATAACTAAGGGGTAGGCTGTTCTTGTGGAAGACTGTTCTGTCATTAGTGATTTTGTACATCATAGACAGACTTATGACAAAGAACTAGGCATTGCCATTAACGTGACTCTAGTATCTGAGAAACACTCCACGAGGATGTTAGATTTGACCCAAGAAACATATCTTCTTTGGGCAGATTCTATCTGATCATTTTGAGTTTGTCTACGGGGGAGACCAGACTTCAGACACATTTTCTAGTTGTTTTCGAACAAGGGTCTTATATGCCATGGCCGTAAGTGGTTCTGAGTTTTACCTTTATTTCATGGTGTAAGAAGCCAATGGATTGTTGTGCCATTTTGGTTGACCTGTTAATGTGGTTGTCCTGTGAAAGACCATTTAATATATCCATGCCCAGGTATTTGGCATTATGTTTAATTAAAGTCTATCAGATTAGTGCAATGGGTCCAAGAGCATCAGAGATTTGTAATTCACAGGTTGCTGATAGATTCAACTAATCTATAATCTTCAACAATGCAAATTTAGACTTAATCTCTTTAACTTACAAATCCTGTACATGTTACATTGTATATAATCAATCAAAAGCTTACTAAGTAAATGGTTCAAAATATTAAACATACATGTAAAGGCTTGTGATAGCTTTTCTGGGTTAAAGCGTTTTGCTTTGGCCAGTGAGTAGTTATGGATATCATTACAAATCAACTCTAAATATTAAAGGAGTAGATGCCATCACTATACCAATTAATACTCATCGTTCTTCATCTTTAAGCATGGGGTTCTATGATATCATGGTACTGAACTTTTATCAGAAAATATTTAAATATAGATATCATAAAAATATGAATGAGATTTTTCTTCTTTTTAATATGTGAACTCTTTCCAAAACTGTTTTTTAAAGATTTATTTCAAAATATACAATTAAATGTCACTTTTTTAAACAATTTCCATTGTCTGCCATTTTGTGTGATTTCACAGGAGTTTACTACTGTAACACTGTATTGGCTAAAAATTTAAGTATGGAAGGATAGATGTGTCATAGTCTTCATATTTAGTTGTGAAAAACTTTGAATAGTTAACTTCACGTAAAATTCAAACAATATGAACAGACAATATGGCAGTTCATGGGATTATAGTATATTTTATAATTGACTGTGTGAAAACATTTATGAGGAATATTAGTCAAATATGAAGATTTTATAAAATAGTTTTCTTACCACAAATATATTTATTATTCACAAACTTCAGGGGTTGCTGATTTGATACTTTCAGGCATTTCGGAAATTCTGCAGGTGATTTAATTAAGTCCAACTGGACAAGTGGAATTTTCCGCTGCTTCAAAATTACTTTTTTTTCTGATGATTAAGAGCCATGTCATTATTACAGCAACAGCCAGGAGAAAGGTGCAGAGATTAATTATCGAGAGCTATGTATACATGTATACGTCATGTAATTAAAGCTTCACATCCAAAGCTTCTTTATCAGAGGCTCTGACTTGGTAGAGACTTTAACTATTAACCTACTAGAACCAAAAGTGATTCAGCCTTTGCCACTTGTATGGAGCCAAGCTAGTCTGCACCTTTTTACCATCTGATCAGGCTCTATACAGTTGGCTTACTTACTTTAATTTTAATTTTTGATAACCACCAAATTGATAATCGACTGTTCTAAAAATGTAATCTCAGGGCAAATTTATTGCACATAGTCACCATCTTTTTATATAGGTTACTGTGAAATCATAATTATAAGTTCAAGGTATAAAATGGCGTGGTTTGCTGACTTAAAACAGAATTAGTCGAAAGAATTTGGATGTACATATGTATTAACTTATACATTGTATTTAGCAATCAATGATTCATTATTGCTTTATGGTGTATTAATATCTTTCAGAAAATTCCAAGTGATAATTGTGATAATAAGGTGGGATAAGGTGAATGACTTGATAATTTTATTGATTAGAATAGAATACAAAATTTGTGTACATGTATTTCACTAGTGATTTGCAGAATGATTTGGAATTTTGAAATAAAAGAATATTATTCATAATTGTATTGAACTGTAAAATGTAAACTGTTCAGTTTAAAAAAAAAATCAAACTTTTTTAAGATTGAACATAAAAAAGTTGTGTCTTCAAGTGACTGTAGTTATTTTCTTTCTCTTTTTATGTAAGCCTCCAAATAAGCGATCAAAGTTGAAAAAAAGCCACTACACTTCAGAAAAATATATCAAGTGTTTAGATTTGTATAGATCTATTAAATTTTCCCTATCCATGCTTATAATTTGCAAAACATTAATAAATTATTTTCATCTCCATACATGTATCTTTATCATATTATTAATTTGTGGCAAAATTTGTGCTTGATTTCCCACCTGAAAAAGTATATATTCTTACTCAATTGTAATTCAACAATTTTCCCCCATACAATTGTTATATTTAAAGCATGGTTATCCTGGTTTTCAATATATGGAAATTGAATTGATGAAGGTTGATTACTTGATTTAATTTTGTTCGGAAGTTGATTCCCTCCCCTCCATCCTTTAAAATATTCATTGAAATGTTGCATGTGTCTTTTGGAATCATGGTTGGTAGGTCACTGACTAAGATCCATAATTTTACTGCCTGGCTTTTGTTTTTCTTGTAATCACATCCAGGCATTATTTAATGTTATTTATTACATGCTTTTCGGTGGTTTATAGAAATATATCAGTGATATAAAACTGGTATTTTCACTGCTTGAAACAGTGAAATTACCACTTTGTTAATTTCACTGTTTTGAATTTAAGCCCCTTACGTTGTTTCGGTAAAATACCAGCGTGCACAGTACTGGGTACCAACTTAATGACGTGACGTCGTAAATGACGTCACGTATTATTATTTGGCGCGCTTTTCATTCAGTATTAGGTTTAATGTCTTTTTAAAACATTTCTTTGCATGAAATAAAAAGAAAATTTGTTTACTTTAATGCAAGATCGAAATATATTTCACCTTGTGAACACCAAAAGTTCATATTTCACTTGTGGCTGCGCCACTTGTGAAATATACCTTTTGGTGCTCACTCGGTGAAATATATTCCGATCTTACACTGAACTAAACAAATATCCTCTATTATGTAAAGCAAAGACTAGTTGTGCGCTGTTTTTCTGACTGCTGGTGTTTTTGTAAATTTTAGGACAGCGTTTATGTAGGGAAGAAGATAAGTTGAAGGCTGGTCGAGGCACTTACACCAGAAACAGTTTCATATATTCATCACTCGCAGGTCCATTAATAACTACAAACAATGAAGATGGGATGGTGAGTAATGTTTTAGTACAACTATGAACTTCATTTACATTCCTTAATCTGCCAAATTTGTATATTGAACTTTTTGCTTTAAATTTGATATGTTATTGTCCATTCTTTATGACAGATTTTATATAATGGTGAAATTTTGTTTATGTGCCATCCAGTACTATTGATGGTTGATATAAATCTTGACTGAAACCTTGATATACATCTTTACTTCATTATTTTAAACTAAAGGGAATCATTATGCTTTATTTTTAAACTAACACCTGGAGATACTGGTGGCAAAGACTTGTCCGTAAATAACCAAGTTATTAAATTAGGACCTGCCGAAACTGAAAGTTTTTAGCCTATCCCAACAGTATACACATGCTATAGAATCAGGCCTGCTCACTCATGCATTACTTCAATGGTAAAAATGATTTTTTCTTTTATTTGCAAACTCATATTTTATTATTGATCATATTTTGTTATTGAAATGATATACATTCTTTGTTTAGACATTGGTGGAGGTGGTGAGGAATGCAGAGGAATATGTTGTCCCATCTGTTGATGCTCTAGTTACAGCAAAGGTAAGAATATGAGATGTAGACATTTTAACTAGTTAGATTCACGCCAGGGACATCAAATTCTTTGATGTTGCGGCATGGCTGAGTGGTTAACTAGTCAGGCTAGTAATCTAAAGATAGCTGGACACATGGGTTCAAACCCATTCAGGGGTAAGCTGTTGTTTCCTTGAGCAAGAAAGTACGCTCATTGATTATAACTGGTTGGTTCCAGGAATGGATTTGAGAGTGTGTCTTTAAGCTTAATGCTTTTTGTTCCCCCACTATGGGGGGCATTTAGATTTACCCTTGTCTGTCCGTCCATCCGTCCGTCTGTTCTCTTTTTGTGTCGCACGTAGCTCAAAAAGTAATGGACCTAGAGTCATGAAACCAATCAAATTAAAAGTGATTCAGTTTATAAAAAACTCTTTCTTGAGAGGAAACAATCCTGGTACCTTTCTGTCTCCATATCGTAATTTTTTTTTCTATGGTACTGGAAAATTGTAAAGATATGAATATTTTGACAGTTCTAAACAATATGGCAGCCTGGTTAATTGATATTTTATAAGGATGTGAATACATGGAAACTAGAGATTATGACATATCTTTTTTTCTTGAAAATGTTTACAAATCATGATTGCTATGGTAACATAAAAAGTTAAGATAAGGCTACTAATGACAATAACTAACAATAAGTATTTGGATAGGATAGGTGGCCATAATTATACAGAATATATATCATGTAACTTTGCTCCTCCTGATGGTCAAGATTCTTGTTGCTGTGGTGAAATTGAGGGTCTTCTGTGTTACCAGCAACCCCACTGACTTGTTTTCTCAAACATAACTACATGATCATTTATTTCAGGTGACCAATGTGAACCCTAGGTTTTGTAAATGTGCCATCATTAGAGTTGGAAAAACTACATTAAAAGATTCCTTCCGTGGGATGATAAGGTGAAATATTATATGTTAATTAATATCTTGCTAACCTTTTACTATATAGCCTAATGTGACTTCACCTTGTGTTATTTCGATCTATCATGCTGGAAATGAATATCACTCGTTCAGTAATTTTTTACAATTTTACACAGGGGTGAGTACTCTATATAGACTTAAGAAAACATAATGCTCCAGTTCTCTCCCCTGATAAAAATCAATAATGAATGGCTCTTGAAGTATAATGATATATAGCGCTGAAAATTACTTTAAAAAAGTAAAGAAGCCGAGGGTGTTTTATTTCAGTTCAAGTGAATATCTTTATAATATTTGAAATTCAAACATCTCTGACAAACAGTACAAGTATTGTGAAAATGCAAAATTTTTAGTTTATTTGTTTTTAGCTCACCTGTCACAAAGTGACAGGGTGAGCTTTTGTGATCGCTTTTCGTCCGTCGTCCGTCCGTCCGTCCGTAAACTTTTGCTTTAAATGACATCTTCTCATAAACCACTGAGCCAATTTCATCCAAACTTCACAGGAATGTTCCTTTGGTGGTCACCTTTAAAAATTGTTCAAAGAATTTAAATCCATGCAGAACTCTGGTTGCCATGGCAACCGAAAGAAAAATCTTTAAATATCTTCTTTTAAACAACCCTAATAGCTAGAGCTTAGATATTTGGCATGAAACATCTTCTAATGAGTGTCTACCAAGTTTGTTCAAATAAAAGCCCTGGGGTCAAAATTGGCCCCGCCCCAGGGGGTCATTGATTTTCCCTATATGCATATAGTAAAAACTTAAAAAAATCTTCTTTTAAAGAACCCAAAGAGCTAGAGCTAAGATATTTGGCATGAAACATCTTCTAGTGAGTGTCTACCAAGTTTGTTCAAATAAAAGCCCTGGGGTCAAAATTGGCCCTGCCCCAGGGGGTCATAGATTTTCCCTATATGCATATAGTAAAAACTTAAAAAATTGTCTTTTAAAGAACCCAAAGAGCTAGAGCTAAGATATTTGGCATGAAACATCTTCTAGTTGGTGTCTACCAAGTTTGTTCAAATAAAAGCCCTGGGGTCAAAATTGGCCCCGCCCCGGGGTGTTATTGATTTTCCCTATATGCATATAGTAAAAACTTAAAAAATTTTCTTTTTAAGAACTGCAAGAGCTAGAGCTTAGATATTTGGCATGAAACATCTTCTAGTGAATGTCTACCAAGTTTGTTCAAATAAAGCCCTGGGGTCAAAATTGGCCCCGCCCCAGGGGGTCATTGATTTTCCCTATATGCATATAGTAAAAACTTAAAAAATCTTCTTTTAAAGAACCCATAGAGCTAGAGCTAAGATATCTAGCATGAAACATCTTCTAATACGTGTCCACCAAGTTTGTTCAAATAAAAGCCCTGGGGTCAAAATTGGCCCCGCCCCGGGGGTCATTGATTTTCCTTATATGTGTATAGCAAAAACTTAAAAATCTTCTTTGAAAAAACCCAAATAGCTAGAGTTTAGATATTAAGCATGAAACATCTTTAAGTAAATATCTACAAAGTTTGTTCAAATAAAAGCCCGGGGGTCAAAACTGGCCCTGCCCCAGGGGTGTCATTGTTTTAAACTATATGTGTATAGTAAAAACTTAAAAAATCTTCTTTTAAAAAACCCAATGAGCTAGAACTTAGATGTTTAGCATGAAACATCTTCTTATGGGTGTCTTCCAAGTCTGTTCAAATAAACAAATAAAAGCCCTTGGGTAAAAATTGGCCCAGGGGGCGGGGGGCTATATACAGGTGAGCGACCTCAGGGCCATCATGGCCCTCTTGTTTGGTTTTTCGTCACATCGACACAGTATAGGACTGTCATATCGCGACGTTCCAGCTTTACTGGTGGAGGAAGACCTCACCGACGTTCTGTAAGCTAGCTGGATAGCTTCCTCACTTGAAAGAATCCAAAGTCCCTGTCAGGATTCGAACCCACAGCGGTGAGGGGCAAGTGGTTTGAAGTCAACGGCCTTAACCACTCGGCCACGGACGCTCCCACAAAATTTTTAGAATGAATGTTTCAATTTCCAATCAGGTATTTTTATTTTTTTTAAATAAAATTATTAATCAACCTATACTGTTTATCACATCTTCAGGTCAAATTGTAAGGTCATTATGTATCAAATATTGAAAACTGTTTTTCAGTAATTTTCTGAATGCCATTTAACTGGCAGCCTTTGAACTTTTTATGGCCTCTTTAAACATATTGAAGTAAAAAAAAATGTTTTTTTTTCAGGAAGGAAGATGTCAGGGCCACTGAAAAAGATAAGGTTGGATGATCTTTTATTTATCTTTAAAGATATACAGTCAAACTTCAGCTTAAGACCACTGTAAAATGAACATCATACACAGCAAATTACACACTTTTTTACTTTCTAATATCTTTTGATGAAGACTGTCAAATATATTGTGTTTGTAATTTCTGTAGTGCTCAAACCTGTAGTCAGGTTTCTTGTAAACTATGCGTACCCTTCTGTGGGGCTCAAACCTTTGGTTGGGTTACACTGAAACTATGTGGGGCTCAACAATTTTATAGGGTTTCTGGTAAAATGTGTGTACCTTCTGTAGAGCTTAACATTTTGAAAGGTTTTCATGTACCGTTTTTTTTTTAGCTCACCTTGCACAAAGTGCAGGTGAGCTTTTAGGATGGCCAACCAAATGGCGTCCGTCGTCTGTCGTCCGTCCACATTTTAAATATTCTAAGGACATCTTCTATGATACCGCAAGGCCAATGTTAATGAAACTTGGCAGGAATAGTCTTTGTATGAAGCTCTATCAAGATTGTTCAAAGAATTCCATTTCATGCAGAACTCTGGTTGCCATGGCAACCGAAAGAAAAATCTTTAAATATCTTCTTTTAAAGAACCGTAAGAGCTAGAGCTTAGATATTTGGCATGAAACATCTTCTAATGAGTGTCTACCAAGTTTGTTCAAATAAAAGCCCTAGGGTCAAAAATGGCCCTGCCCCAGGGGGTCATTGATTTTCCCTATATGCATATAGTAAAAACTTAAAAAATCTTCTTTTAAAGAACCCAAAGAGCTAGAGCTAAGATATTTGGCATGAAACATCTTCTAGTGAGTGTCTACCAAGTTTGTTCAAATAAAAGCCCTAGGGTCAAAATTGGCCCCGGCCCGGGGGGGTCATTGATTTTCCCTATATGCATATAGTAAAAACTTAAAAAATCTTCTTTTAAAGAACTGTAAAATCTAGAGCTTAGATATTTGGCATGAAACATCTTCTAGTGAATGTCTACCAAGTTTGTTCAAATAAAAGCCCTGGGGTCAAAATTGGCCCCGCCCCAGGGGGTCATTGATTTTCCCTATATGCATATAGTAAAAACTTAAAAAATCTTCTTTTAAAGAACCGTAAGAGCTAGAGCTAAGATATTTAGCATGAAACATCTTCTAATGAGTGTCTACCAAGTTTGTTCAAATAAAAGCCCTGGGTCAAAATTGGCCCTGCCCCAGGGGGTCATAGATTTTCCCTATATGCATATAGTAAAAACTTAAAAAATCTTCTTTTAAAGAACCCAAAGAGCTAGAGCTAAGATATTTAGCATGAAACATCTTCTAATGAGTGTCTACCAAGTTTGTTCAAATAAAAGCCCTGGGGTCAAAACTGGCCCCGCCCCGGGGGTCATTGATTTTCCTTATATGTGTATAGCAAAAACTTAAAAATCTTCTTTGAAAAAACCCAAAAAGCTTGAGTTTAGATATTATACATGAAACATCTTTAAGTAAATATCTACAAAGTTTGTTCAAATAAAAGCCCGGGGATCAAAACTGGTCCTGCCCCAGGGGTGTCATTGTTTTTAACTATATGTGTATAGTAAAAACTTAAAAAATCTTCTTTTAAAAAACCCAATGAGCTAGAACTTAGATGTTTAGCATGAAACATCTTCTTATGTGTGTCTACCAAGTCTGTTCAAATAAAAGCCCTTGGGTAAAAATTGGCCCGGGGGGGGGGGGGGGGGCTATATACAGGTGAGCGACCTCAGGGCCATCATGGCCCTCTTGTTTTCTCAAAATCTTGATAATAGTTTACATAGGTTTGTGATACTTTGATTTATGAAACTTTACATTGTTAATTTGAAACATTTCTATATCAAGTGACTAAAAGCAACTAACAGTGTAGATTGAGCTGTATTTACCTGTTTTTTACCTGCTGGATCCTAAAGTGATAAGCAATTAACGGATAATGTCATCATTATAGTGCCAGGCCACCCTGCACATCCTTGCAGTCTAACCAGTCTCTATACTGTTGGTAGCATATTTTTTGTTGTTACTATTTTTATATAGAAATCTACAAAAGTTCCAAAGTCACAGTATGGGAAATCCATTACAAATTCAGGATATTAAAGGTTTATTCAAGGTTTAAAGGTAGCCATATTTACAAAAATCATTATTGTGGTATAACTAATTCTCTATAATTGATGATAGCTCACAGTAAAACAAAAAAAAATCTTTTCAGTTAATTTTCTCATTACAGGTTGAGATGTATAAATGTTTCAGGCCTGGTGATATTGTGATTGCTAGAGTGATCTCCCTTGGTGATTCACAGTCTTACCTTCTTACTACGGCAGAAAATGAATTGGGAGTTGTCATAGCAACCAGTGAAGCAGGTGATTTTATTTTGTTATCAATTGTGTACTTTACAGTGCACAATTTTATTTCAGTATTTCTAGAATATGACCCATGCCCATGGAGTTTTTAGCTCTGAATTTGATTAAGATTGGAAGTTTACATGCAGGATGGTGCCTAGATTTGTTCCAAGTATGAAAATATAAAAATAGCTTCAAATTGGGAAATAAGATATTATTTCATTTCCAAATATAACCAAGTATTATAGAAAAAAATCACCCTACAAAAACATCCTGGAAATCAACTTGTTGAATTAAAGATATGGTACACTTAACCTCTATCATGCCAAATTGCCTAAATGGATGTGTCCATTTTTTCAGTTTAGGCAAAAACATTCAATTTTAGGGAAATTTTTAAATGAGAAATGACTTAATAGCACAAGTCGCAGGCCATGATAAGGTTGTGAGATGGTACAGAAATGGCGGCATATCTTAGTCTGCACTAGTTGCATAGGTGGATTTAGTTAAATCAAGTTGTCTTTGAAAATTAATTTGTTTGTTGTTATTTTAGCATAAATTTGTAAACAATGCTTTACAATACTTGCTGTCATTGCAGTAGAGTCTGAGTTGCAAAAATAAAACAAAATTTTTAAATGAACTATTTCTGATGTCTACTGTATATAATATTCAATCTTATTGCTTAAATTTAGTTGTAATACATGATAAATAGGATAGCTTTTGTTTAGATTTTAATATTTGAATATTAACATTTTTGACATAATGTGTACTGGTTTGCGAGCAGTTCCCATACAGAAGCAGTACCCGTATTTTTCGTTTAAGGTAGTACACCCCTAATGGGCACTATAAGGAATTGTAAATTTGACAACATAGGACAGTTATATGCCTTAAATGTCACCTGTATGCAAAATTTAAACAAAATTTACCGTGTGGTTTATGAGATATGGACATTTTTATGAACTAAAACTTTGCCATTAGAAGGGATTTTTTCAGAAATGAGGAAACTCTAAATAATCTATAATATCATCATTATGAAAAAATGTTTTCCTTTTGCTCATTGTTAAGAAATAAATAATGACATTTAGGTAACAAATTAAACAAGCAAAATGATTGTTTTTAAACGAAATGTTTTTAATATGTATAAAAATGTAACCCTACCCACCCACTTTTAACACTAATTTGACCATTTCCCTATGTAAAAAGCCTTATTTAAAATATCCCTAAAATTTCCAAAATGAGGGGCTATTTTCAAAGTTTGCCTAAATTTTCTTTAATGTATATTGATTGGTCTTGCAAATATAAAATACTTTTACCGTTTAGTTTTTATTTTATTAAACTTTGAAAATATCTGGTATCATATTTGCTATTAAATTTGGCATTATTTAGTAAATAAATACCTACAATAATTATATAATTAAAATAAAACACTTTTTTCTTCCATAGGGGGTCTGAGAGATTAATAAAAAATGTTAAAAAGAAAAAAAAGAAAGAAAAAAAATTGCCCCTTCTGGGGTTTGAACCCACGCCCCCTCAGTTTCAATACACTTTACAGTGATTTTAGCCTATTTGAATACTCTTCAAAGTGGAGACAGGGCATTAGGGGTGTACTACCTTAAACCCTTGATTTTTACTTGCATTCTTCAAAAATTGACACCAAATCAAGCAGATGCAAAAACCAAGCGGCAAATTTGCAGTTCGAAAAAGTTCCATTTTAAATCACCTTCAACTGTGCATTGTCAAAACGTGACCTTGTTTACTTTGGGGGGGGGATACAGATTGTGTACAGATAAGTTGACAATGCTATGAAAACTTGTTAAATTATCAGAATTTTGACCTATATTACTATATTAAATAATTATATGGCTTTAATGCGTAAAATATCATGCATACAAAGTACCCCATTGCATGTGAATGTGTTGGGGTAACAGTACCGGGTAAAAGATACCAGCCTTAAGTCTACACTCTATTTCCTGAATTACATCTATTTACCTCTTGGAAAATAGTCTGTTCAACAATAATAAATGAAAAGTAGGTCTGATATAACAACATTGTATAATTAATTATATGGGGTTATATTTTATGTATGGGAACTACTTCTCTTCATACAAAATAATGGATAACTTCGGTACCCCATATGAGGCCTCATAACAAAGGGTTATGCTATGTTTAGAACATAATGGAATTTCCATGATTTGTGTGACAAGCTATATATTAATGTGTAACATTAAATTTTTTGATGAGTGGGCGTAATAAAAAATAATTTTTAAGTTACACGATTTTTGTATGGGAACTCCTAGCATGCCAGTATACATTGTGACATAATAATATTTAATGCTGTGAGTTTACTGTATTGATGAGATAATCATATTTTTCTACGTCATGTCTTCATATTGGAATTAAAACATTAAGAAAATCCAGGGATAAATATATATTCCTGGAAAATCATATACTTGTATATTACATAATTATGTAATGTCTTTTTTTTTTTTTTTTTCTCATAATTATAAATTATAGTGTAGAGCTGAAGTGTTCCATGAAATTCATGATATTATACAATAACTGGTCACCTTAGTGCAGTAATAAGTTAAGTCCTTTTACATTTAATAGGAGTTAACCAGTAATTGCTCTAAGGTCATGAAAAAGTCATGTATTATATTTAATAATGACAATGTTTATACACACACATCATTCTTGAGTGCTGAAGTTCATCTATCCACTTGTTACAATTGGAAACATTAAATGTATGAAGTGGATTGATTGTAAGAGCATCATGATAAGTGCATCTAAAGGTTCAAATTATGACCATATTTCATTTAACGTCATTTCATTGATATAAATAATGATTTGGTGTAAGAAGTAAAGGAGTGTACTCTTCGGTGTTTTTTTAGAGTACAAGACCATTAGTGAGCTAAAATTACTGAATTATTTCCCCTTTAATAGTGATAATACATTGTTATATTTAATACATGTATTATCTACATACTGCCAGTTTTCAATCACAACCACTTTTCAATCATCCCTAGAATTTCTTTATTTTTGACCTTATTTACCATGTAACCAAATT